TTCACAGAAAGGAAGGGGAAGGGGAAGGGGAAGGGGAAGGGGAAGGGGAAGGGGAAGGGGAAGGGCATCCCTTTTTCCAGATGCCAGCTAAACTTGTAAACTTGGAAGAATACCAGCTACAGCAGCTGGAACTCCGGCTGGGAGCCCAAGAATGACTCTTGAACCACCTTTGACATGGCCAAGACAAACCAGGGTAGAATGGAGCATAACAAGGACTCCTACTACAAGCTGAAATCATCTTTTAATGCTCACTTCAGGTGTTCCCTTAAGAGTTGGTGTTTTGAGACATAATCACCCATTTAATTTAACATTACAACAGTTGTAATTTAACTAGGGACACCATACATACCTACAGTCTTGCTCTTTTTTTTGTTTTTTTTTTTTTTAAGTAAAGCTGATGACTGATCTTAGATATCACATTTTTTCAGTTCAGGCTTTTAAAAAGTAAACCAAAAAACAAGCTTGTTTGGTTGGTTTCTTGTTTGTTTAAAAAATAAAAACCTTGCTCATTTGCTTGTTCTCTTCCAGTATCTGTGTTAAGAAATCCTGAGCAGCATTTCCTTCCTCTGCCCCTTCCCTTGTTAATCACTTATCTATAGCTGCTTTCTAACACAACACTAATGTATAGTAACTCATTTTATTGGCACAAAGGCTGTGCTATACATTGTCTTGTTCTCTTCCTTCAGTGTATGCTTCCTAGCAAATGAAAAAAGCATTACGTATTCCCACTCTGCAGGATGCCAAACACAGACATCTCCTGAGCAAACAGAATAAGTTATTCCACGTAATAACTACAAAGGCAAGAATGAGATTACAAGAAAACATCCTCTACAGCTGTAAACACTATCTGCAAGGCTTACTATTCACAACCATTACATTTCCATGCTGAGCCAATTCAAATCCCTTCTATTCTCATCACTAAAGCAAGCACTGTTTCTTTTTTTCCATTATTTTGGGTCTCTTCTGTACTATTTTTGCTTAGAGGAAGAAAGATGTGTTGATAAATGAGTCTGAAAGTCAATCAAAGCCAACACTGAATCATGCATCTCTTGTTTTAAGGTTTGATACCCCCCAAAATACTTTAAAAAAAAACCAGGAGTGAATAGCCTAGGGAATTTCTGCTTTGGCAGAACTAGAGTAAAGCAGTAGCCAAACACATTGCTACTGGCATTCAGTCTTGGGTATTTTAAGCCAGTAAAAGCTTGATTCAGTATAATTAAAAGAGATGCTCAAAGGGGGCACTGTAAGGCTAAGTGGAGAAATTATACAAAATGTATTTTAACAATCAAAATTACTTGGGCAATGAAACGGCTGGGGAAATGGTGTTTTCTATGCTTTGAAACTAAATCAGGAAAATTGAAAAAAAGATATGCATAGTAGTAATTAGATGTGAATTCTCCCCAGTTCCCTAAAACAGTTTGTTTGGAACAGTGCTATGTATTAAATTTTGCATGCTCCAGGCCTGCATTTTTACAAGCCCTGAATCTTTTGCAAACAGTCAAAGATTGTACAAAGAATTGCAATCCACTTACCAAGGTCTGCCTAAAGGCAGGTGTTGCCCTTTGCTTTAGAACAATGTTGAACATTTTGCTGTCATTGCAAAATGGACAAACTTACATGCACATGGGAAGTCTTTCCTGGAGTTATCCACCGCAGTGTTTCACTGCAGCTGCTTTATCTTGATTATGGTGGGGGGAAAAAGCCATTAACCAATTTGATGATTGGCTGAAGAAAGCTCGTGTCTAAAACTGTTAGTCTCATCTCAGCTATTCTTGTCAAGCTCCATATGGTCCCTATAACAAACAATTATCACTCTATAAGAAAATGTGAATTTCTGTCCAGTTTGCCCAGTTTCTAATGGAGTTTGGACACGTTCTGCTCATTCTGCTATTTTGAAGTCACTCTTCTCATTTTTTAATGACTTTGTAAACAGAGCAATGAACAGGGCTATTGTGCTTTGCTGCATCTGATTTACATCTGCATTAAATACTCCTTATGGCTCCCTCCACAGTGCAGAGCACTTTCAAGGAACCATATGAAACTCAGCCTGAGGCCCAGGGACAATGCCAGAATGAAGTCAAAGGGTCTCATTACCAAGGAAGAAGTTGGGGTCTCATTACCAAGGAAGAAGTCAGGCTCCTTAGCACTTAAAGAGAGAAGAAAAGATAACTACAAGCCATACACACTGATTTTATTTTTTGCATGCACAACAGTGATCCATATGGTGACATTTCATCAATAAATTTATTAGCAACATTAAGTAACAGCTTTCTAGTCTTGTGTTCAGAACTGAAGCCCACTGTACTCAAAATGCTGTAGTGGACTTGTGGCAGGGAAGTTTTAAGAATCTTTTACTCCAAGCCTTCGTCACTGCAAATTTAGTGACAGAATAAAGCTAATTCAGACTGCAGCATTTTTATAATCGGGCTGTGTAAAGCCACATGGGTAAGATACAGGTATGGCATACAAGATACAGTTTCTTTTTCAAAAGAAACCCCTTTTGTCCAGCCTACAACATAGTCCCTGTAACCCTCAAGATACATGGTAAAGGAAGCTTCCTACAGCTTCTCCTTAGAGAAATCTGATGTGGATCATAAATCAGGTCAGTATATTAAAGCTGTTAAAAGAATGACTAGAAATATTAACTTCTTTCCGATTCAGCTTAGTCTAAATTGCTTTACTGAAACACAGTGGCTGCAGAGGTCACAAACTGCTCATGGCCAAGACCATGCTCTGTCCTACCCTTCCAGTCATTTTTTACATCACCTTTCAGTGCACTGAGCAGTCTGGCTCCAGGCTTCACCCAGAGCAATTGTTCCACATGTTAAGAGATAACCTACATGTCACAGGCAGATGTAACTGGTCTTCTGACCTTACCTTCAAATAAACAGATGATTATTTTACTTTGATGGTGTTTCTTGAATGTATTTCTAGGCACATTTTTATCATCAGTTGGGAATGAATGTGAATCCAGAGAGTACATGCAGTGTGAAATGACATTTTAGAGTGGCTTCACTTTTTCAGAAAAAAGGATAGAATCTGTAATTAAATTTAAGATTAATTCTGCATTTGTCAAAGCTGTTTTGATTAGCCTTATCATGTATCTTATACAGTGTAACAAAAAAAAAAAAAAAAGGGGAACACAAAACCACCATTTATTTACCAGGTAATTTTTCAAATGCATGGAAAAACTTTACTCAATAAAATAGAGGACCACTTATATACCCAGCCTAAAAATCTGGTAGTCAGGCTATCCATAGTGATCTCATGGTTCTGCTATGATTCAGGAACACAGAAATCCATTAAAATGCTTTCATTAATCCCTGATGCTTTTACTGTATGCAAAAGGCACGCAGCTTAAATACGGAGTTGTACAACAGGTTTTAACCTTCTGCCATGACTCCTTTCTGAATCTCACTGGCTTGGGGAGGGAAACAAATTATGAATCTGAACTGCAACAATGAAAAATTTAGATACAAGTTAGGGCAGAATGTTTTGCAAGACATGACTACCATGACCAACACATTTGAGTGAATAAATGGTATTCTGAGGGCCATGGTTAATCACCTTCTACATGAACAGGAAAACATTCAGCTTTACCTTGCTGGAAATAAGTTGTGCAACTCCCATACAAACTGGTGCAGACAGGAGCTGAAAAATAAAAAGAAGTTAAGGGAGAGTAAGAGCCTTTTTTACTGAAAACAAGCAATTTGTCTGTATTTCACCTCAAAGTTCATTTATGCTCATTTACATGCAATGATACATGATTGCTTTTGGTGTTGCTTTGAAGACAGTAAGGTGGTGAAAAATTTGGTTCCATTCCTTGTGTTTTCATTAAGCTAACAGCCAAAAAAACCAGCAACAAAAATAAAAATAATTGATCATGATAATTATAATGATAATGATACAACAATAATAAAAATCTCATAAGTACATGCAAAAGGTACACACTAACTCATCAGCTCTATATTCCCACTGAAAAGAGGTGATGAACACTGTCCTGCACAGCTGCTTCCAGAGCCATTGGAACTTATCCTACTCACAGGAATCAAAAGAAATAATAACTGTGGCCTTAACAAAATCAAGCACTTCCATGAACACAAGAATATGGCTTTTTATCTCTCAATCTTTCTGGCAGCTCCTTTTCACAGGGCAGCACTCAGGCGACGGCAGACACAGGCAAGCTGCAGAGCCAGCCTTACCAGCCAGACAGCTGCCACCATCTTCAGGCTGTTTGAAGGATTTAGTTTAGTTTTAATTTAGATCTTGTAGCTCTTTGTCACTTCAACACTGTTAATTTTTTCCTGATGAATTGCACTGGTGCTGGGTCTCTGCCATTTTCCCCTCAGCCCCACACAAGCAGCATCCCTTTTAGCAGAGGTAAACGCCTCTGCTTTGTCTCCACTGCAATATTGAGGCACCGTGTCTGGGATTTTACAAGGAGTTGTCTCCCTGCGGACACCTCTTGTGCCCAGCTCCCCTGTCTTGATCAAGTAACTTCAGTTTTGTTACCGATGCCTAGAAAACACTCACCACACCCATCTTTTAAAGTTCAATGCAGCAACTTTAAATTAGTCAGATCAAGGGGAAGAAAAAAAAAAAGCCAGAACTAAGGAAGCAGTATTTGCGTCAGTGGACATTTGCTTGCAAGCTTCTTTCAAATCTAAATCAGGACCCAACATCTTTTTGTCTGCCAATTTTTTTTCCAAGCTCTGCTAAAACTTTAAGCAGCACAATCACAATAGAAGGTCCTGTAGCATTCAGTGATAAACATTTACCAGAGCAAAGACAACATAAATTTCTTAATTTAAAAAATCAACCAAGAAAAATAATTTTTCCTTTAGTAAGATAAAAATTAAAACTGTCTTTATTTCCTTTTTTTTTTTTAAGATAAATTTAAAATTAACTACTATGCTGGAAATACATCACGGGAATTCATTTTTCTGTTTCAGATTTGAAGGATTAACTCTTCAATTATTAAGTTGTACCAACAGCTGATCACTTGCTGTGCAGTCTATTTTTAAAAGTCCATGAAAGATTAGTGTAACCAGAATACCTAGAATAAGAACATTTAGCAAGACCCTGCCATGCAGAAATCTGAAATTAGTGTTTGAGACCTGGTATATCAATTTACAGTTAATGCCAGGCTTGCTCTCAGGGGGGCTCAGGTCACTTTTTAATGGCCTTCAACAGCTGCACACACACACAACACTCCTCCCTCCCCAAACCACCACCCAACATACAAGTATTGTTTCCAACTGTGGGGGCAATTCAAATCCTTACTGAAAACATTTGATGCCTGCTTTACATTCAAAATTACATATTGATTCACAAAAGGAAGGACATCACAATTTTCTCTTTTTTAAAAAAAAAAAAGGTTGGGATGGGAGTGGGCTATTTTAAACTGGGAATGATGCATTTCTCTAGAGCTGCCAGCACATCCCTTTGAGGTCCTGATAAAATCCTGGTGGTCATATTCCAGAGGATTTGTACTTTTCAGAGTTCCAGGGTGAGAAGAAGAGAGAGAGGAACCAAAAATCCCTCTAAAGCATCGTTCTCTGCTTACTGCTACTCTTTCCAAGTAGAGGAACCAAAAATCCCTCTAAAGCATCGTTCTCTGCTTACTGCTACTCTTTCCAAGTCCCTCTGACTGAGGTGTTGGTCCTCCAGGAACTGCAGGCAGGTTAAGAAACAGGTCACTGTCATGCAGGTCACTGTCTCCTGTGAGGGTCACCTGAATGAGGGTCACCCTGCCTATAAAAGGCAGTGATTTCTCAGATAAGCCCCTCAGTATGCACCTCTCTGCATCTGTTTCCTTAAAATATTCAGCGCATCTGTTTCCTTAAAATATTCAGCATGTCTAAACCCACCAGAGTGTATCTTTCTATTTAAAGGAACACCTCACTTTGCAAGAACTCACATTTTCAGGATCTGTCCCCAGACAGAAAGTCTAGTAAAAATTGTCCAAATGAAAGATGTTTTTCAGCATATCCTTCTGAAAATTACACCCCATGAAGGGTTTACTGCTGTACAGTGACCTGCTAGCTCCAGGTTACAAGGACCTGGCAAGTACAGATATCAGACACAAGTTACCTTTAGAACTCCTTTAGCTTAAATAAAGTATTATCTCAGAACTCACTCCATAAATCTGAAGCTGAGACAAGAAGTGACATGAAATAAATGAAGTCTTAATAAATTTATGTGACCCCCTTGAGTACAAGCTTTATTTCTCCAGTAACTTCTGTACTGTGCAAGCCAAAGCAGCAGAGAACTCAGGCACATCAGCAGCCAGATGAGAGGGTACACAGTGACTGATCAGCTTTGAAACAAGAATTACAACTCTAGCAGGCATTAGCAAAGCATCAGCACAGCAAGAGTTAAGAGTGTGGCCTGTACTTCACTGGTGGGAATAGTTTGGGAAACAGAAATAGTAGGAATAGGATCCTTTAAAATTACTTCAGCTTTTATTAACATATTTTTACAGGACATCCCAGTTAAGCCAGGCAGCATGTTTACAATAGGGTCCTGTCTAAGGACAGCTTAAAACTATTACACAGTACATACAGAAGGACAATACAGTCCCAGTACAAGCTACCAACAGGCAGTAAATCACGTCAAAACCTCATGTTACACCTGATTAACTGCTTGGCTCCAGTACTGCAACCTGCTCCAAGAATGCTTGCTTCAGTGTAGTTAGGAGTTGTCAGAGAATTTATGTCATCTGATGGCAAGTTACATAAAATGGTGCCCCAGTGTCTCATTTAAGAAGCATTACTTGGCATGAGCTACAGGAGTGTGTGGCTTCACACCTGCAGTATCCTCTGGTGCTATGTGTTCCTTAAAAGTGGACTCCATTTAGATGTCTCATTTACTAGAAGAAATCACATCACCTCTGTCCCAGTGGGATCATATGAGCCTGGATTACAACTCTATATGAATTACAAACACATCCAAAATTTTATCACTCATGAGTCAGTCTACCCTCAACTCAGCAAAGCAATGAAATTAAATTTCCCACAAAATTTTCCTTGATTCTAAGAATGGCTTAAAAATAGACACCTTTGCAGATATGAAGACCTTACATTTTTCACTAAATGTACAAACCCAAGAGTGAACCAAACAGTAAAATCTGTCCATCACCTCCACACAAAGGAAACCTTATTTCTCCAAAGTCAACCCAAGTTACTAGAGAGGCAAATTTTGAGAGAATCCCAAAGTCTGTAGATTGGATGTTTGTAAAACACACAAGGTACTATGAAAACCAAGCAATAATCCTTATGAAGGCTGTGTTTATCTGACAGTCAATCAGCAAGACATCTGGCATTATCTGAAATGCTGTGCATCTTGATCAAGAGTTAGAATCCTGTAAATCAGCAAAGGTGTTTAATTGTACAGTCTGCTAGCCCTGACTCTGTGCACAGCTTTTTTCCAGAGTTGTGAAGGAATTTAGCAGAAAGCTGAATGTCAATTTTAGCAGTAATATCATCTACACCACACACAATCAAATCAAATATTTCTATGGAGTTCCCCATGCTTGACCAGCAGGAGACTTGTTTGTATTCTTCTGTAAGATTAAGTAATCATAGCATATTTTTAAAGTGCAGTCTTATTATCTCTTTCCTCAGGCAAAGCAGTGATACTTCAGCTTTATCCTGGATAAACTGTTGAGGTAGTCTGTGGGACTCACCACTCACTTCAAGTGTCTGCAGGAAATGTAAACCCAGTAAAGAGGACAATTTCTTGCATTTAGCATGTTGCAATACACATGGGAGGCTAAGCCCCTGAATTCCTGCTCTTACTTATTGATTGAGGCAATTTTGTATTCTAACAATTAGATCACAGAAAACCATTTTCTTCTAAAATTAAACAAGGAGTTTAATTAAAGTCAGAACAAGTCTACTAAAATAACAGCAGAACAACAGAGCACAGATGTCTGGACTGCAAATGCATTTACCTACTTTTTTTGCTCAGTCATAACAGCATTTCCACAGCAATCACAAGAAGAGCTTTAATAAATGAAAAGCCTGATGTTAAATCAGACTTTTCCCTGGCAGAAGATGAAAAAAGTTCTTCTGGTTTTAGTAAGGGGTAAGACCCAAGCTAAATGCTGAGGCCATGGTGAAACAGATACAAAAAAACCATTAGAAATCCTGATATGGAAATGCAGATCAATGCATCCACCAGCTGTAGTGACATTTAAGGGAGGGGAGAGCATCTGAATGGTACCACCATGGTGGCCTTTAGACACAAGCACTTGAGTAATTGAGAAAAAAGAAAGAAACCAGCACCTGTTCCCTAACAAGGTGTGACATGAGATGTAAGCACCAAGCACCAGGAGCTTCAATCTGAAATGGAAATGCACACAACAGCATGGGGGGAAGGGTTTTGGTTAAGCAGTTAACACCGGGAAAAATAAAATGGTAAGATGCTCTCATTTGGTGAGAGCTGCAGTTCAGATGACTTCTCTCTCTGAACCCAGAATGGCACAGGACTTGTCCTTACAGATGGCAAAGCTTCAAGAGACAGTAGCTGTGGCAGGAACACCAATAATGATGCCACATTTTCAGATTCAGAGCTTGTAGCTGGGAAAGGAGGAAATGTAGGTGGGAGGGAAGCAGCTCAGCCATCACTGATCTCAGCAGTTGTAAGAG